AAACGTGTGGAAGAAAAATCTGGATTCATCACTGATCAGATATAAGGGCTTTAAATGCATGCATGCATTCCATACACTGGAGGCAACTACCATTTAATTTCCACCACAAATATTAGGCCCAGTTTGATCGTGTAGATTTTTCTTGAAAAATAGAAAACAAATTTCATTTCCCTTCAATTTGTGTGCTTTATAGGGTAAAAATTGCTAAGAAAACTTCCCCCCCACCCCTCTCACGCGTCTATTTTCCTCAAAATTGATGAAAAGGTGTTGATGCCGTTTTTTCTTTTCTTTTTTTTTTACAATGAAAACAAATTTCATAACCAGTTGTAAAAAAAATTTCACTTTAATTAACAATTTTCATATAAAATAAAGTAAAAAAAATACTAAACTTCGATTAAAAAATGATTTTTTTAGGAAATTTTTTTTTTTTGTTTTTTTACTTTTTGGCAATGGAAACAAATTTTATAACCAATTATAAAAAAAATTATCATTTTAATGGACAATTTTCATGTAAAACAAAGCCAAACGAATATAAAAATATTCAAAATTTAAAAATTTTCTATGTGGAAAATTATACCAATCAAACACTCTTAATTAACAATTTCCTGCAAAATAATTTCTAGACAATTATTTTCTCTGAAATTCATTTTCTTTCCACCCATTTTTCACCATTGCAATCAAACGGACCCTTAGCGTTATTGAGTATTGACACTTCAGTGAAATTTCCTCTTTTGACTCATTCTTTATCTGGAGAATTCTTTCGAATGAGGGTAACTTAGACACAAATAATGACGGGTTCATGCCGCTAGGAGTAGGCGTCGGAGAGATTTAGTCGGAGTTGAGAACCAAACTAAATTGATTTTTATTAAAAATTGTGAAAATGGAACTATTGGTTTCATTGACAAAAAAAGGAACACAACTCCACCTAAACCGATTGGTTTTGGTTCGATCATATCTAGAAAAATTGACAACCCATACATGCTGCTCCATGTATCTTATTGATTGAAAATGCGGGGTAATTACGTGATTGATCACTAAACTTTACATAATGGTTTTAGAAGATCATTGAATTTCAAAAATTTCCCCATTAGTCATTGAATTTTACAAATGTAATCCCATTAATCACTAAGAACTTCAAAAGTTTCGTCATTAGTCACTGAACTTTACAAAATATAATCACATACATCACTTAGGGTTTAGGGTTCAATGATCAATCAAGTAATTAACCAATCTGTGTGTTTTTTTAGATTTTTTTTTTCTTTTTCTCTGTACTCATACTCCCACAATTTTATTCTCCCTAGAATTGTCAAACTTAGAAAAAAGAATAGTGTTTTATCTTGAGGATAGCCGACAAGATTGTGTGTTGACCTATCTAAGATCAAATAGGCGATAGAGGACAGTTCTAAGGTTGCTTCAACTTTGATCGTCTTTCCATCTAAACATACCTTAATAGAAACAAAAGGTCTATTAGATTCTTAGTTCAAAATGTGTCAAAATTGAATACTATGAAATGATCAATTCTAAAGGGGTTCTATTTTGAAATAGTTGATTGCATGGACTACTGTTGCCTCTTTGATATTAGAGAGTTCAACAAATAACCTTGTTGGTTACCTCTGTGATAAGGCTATTTTTTTTTCTAAGTTTGATGATGCCAGAATGAATAAAATTGTGGGTTAGGAGTAAAAAAATAAAAAGAAAAATTGAAAGAAAAAGACTAAAAAAACATAAAAATTAATAAATTACATGAAATCATTTCTTGCCAAAGGAGTATGGTGTTTGCCTTTGAGTCGATTGAAGAAAATTGCGAGCTTGGTAGATTCATATATAGCTGAAGTGGCTCCCGATCCTCATCTGAAGTCAAATAAAAGACTCTAAAAAATGGAAAAATAAAAAAATTATAAAGCACGCCTAGGGAAGCCGAAAGAGAGAAGGAAAAAATTCAACTGTTTAAAAATTGAAAAAAAATAAAAATTCATTTAGGCACGTAGCGAGACGATTTGCCTGAGCTTCGAGACACCACATCGATGAGCTTTTTAGAACATTGGTCTAATTACATGAGTCCATATAAGTTGTACTACTAAAATTTTTCGATTAAAAGTAATTTTTTTAATAATGTGTGATTGAAAAATGAATAAAAGTTGTGAATTTCATAAAATATGTGATTGAAAATAATTTAAAAAAAATAATTTTAGAGAAATTTGTGTCAACTAAGCCTTAAAATTTGATTAATTTTTATATTGTAGTTTAATATTTTTGTAGACCACCGAATATGATGGGCACTTAGAAACAATAGATCCTAGTTCATTTCCCCTCCACATATGCATTAGGTGCACACTTGGACACACTCAGTAGAGGCACAGACTGTGGATTCAAGGAAAAACGGGGATGCCACAATCGCATGTACTCCAAGCTGAAGTCAATATCTGGACAATAACTTGGTTGTGAAAGAAATACGAGAAATGAAGTAGAAAAATAGGTACACAGCCAAGATCAAGTTTCCAATTGGATGGAAAAGTGTGAGCCAAATTTGGAGTAGAAAATGTATCACTAAGACAATTAGTTCCCTAAAGTCCCGAGTTTGGATGGGAGTGTGGGTAGCAAGTAGCAACCATGAAAGATTATCAAGCAAAGCCAACTATGAGTCACATGTGATAATAAATTGTGAAATTTGCTGATTAGATCTGCATCTGTAAGAGGTGATCGAGCAAAGTAAATTTGAATTTACTCATATCTTGAAATATAAATATACGCCTTCGCACCATATAAATGTGTAATGTTGGTCAAAAAATTGTTTGGGAGAAATAGACCCAACAATACAAATTAAGAAATATTTTGTGTTGTAATTCTTGAATCAATGTGATATGTCTCCAATCTCGTGTGGAGGGAAGGGTGGAGTGGTAAAAGCCTGACATTAATGAGAAAGGGGAAGAGATGATAAATCTTACATTAGCCCTTGTTGACAATCATTCTTTCTCATTCATTTATTTTTCAGTCATTTTCAACCATATTTTTTACAATAAAATATTATTCACGTAAATTTAAAACCTTTCCTTATTTTTTAATCACTCATTTTTCCAAAGTTTACTATTCAAAAAATCATTCTTTTCAAAAAAATAATAATAAAATAAAAAAAAAAAAGTCAAACATAGGCTTAATAAGCCGATTTTACAATAAGGTGTTAAGCCCATAAATCTTTATGTAATGGACGTTTAGTAAATAGCATGAATTCGCATATGTTGTCATTGACAGAAGGGTAGATTAGATACAATTTATTTTACGTTAATCTCGTCTTTTACATAATTAAGAGTTTATTTTTCTGGCATTGGTTGGTTTAATTTTGATGCATTTCTAGAGAGTTTCTTGTCAAATTTTCATTGAAATAATTTTATAACACTTGAATAATAATAATAATAGAGAATCTGAATACGTTACTAGAACCATTTTTTTCCCCTGAAAAAACTGCTACATTTTTTTCCTCAAAATGGATAAAATTTTGGACATGGAAGTATTTTTCAACTACTTTTCTAGCATTTAAACAAAGCCAAACATCCTCTACGCAGTTTGGGATATCACCGATGCACGAAATATATTTATGAAAATATTGCCTCAACATTAAAATTTGGCACGTACTTAATTTTATGGGATCATAGTCACATTTCTTGACATAGGTGATTGTAAAAGTAAGAAAAGGTTGATGTTATTAATCTAAACATATTAATCCTTCTATTTCTCGACAGTTGAAAGGACTATTTGTTGGATTTTATATGCAATAATGGAGAAGTGAAAGAGATAAATTAACTCAAAGATTTAACGTGATTCGACAATATGCTTACACGAACTTGAAAAATGGATCTGTTTATCATAAAGAGATTCGTCGTTCCTGACTCTGCTTCACTTTAATTGTTATTTGAACAAGTAAAAGTTCTATATTGGTCCGAGTGGGGATCCAATCGTGGATAACAAACCAACCTTTCGTCATTAATCTTCGAAGGTAAATTCCATATGAATTTTCGTGTCCACAATCAAGGGGTCAAGTTAGTGATACTCCTTTTGTGTTTCAAGCACTGATAGAACCGGAAGCGCCCCTTCTTTCAAACTTTCAAAGAGAGTAGGACAGGTTATTCATATTTCATTTGATGGTCAGAGATGAATTAAAAGCTAAGCAATGGAAATTCTAAATATTTTCCGAGCGGAGCGGAGATATTTTATTTAGTATGAATAATATGTTATATCATCAGTATATATATATTAACCCCAGCTCTAGTCCATACGAGATTTTAGGAATCGTACAAGAAAATACACATATTGTACCACAGGGGAGTTATCCCTCACTTCCAACCTATTCAACTTCCATAGCAATCTGACAATAAATTAAAACCCAAAAGACCAATGGTTCGATTCGCTCCGCTCCAACATCGGCCTATTTCTTCCAGTAAACTTGTATTTCACTCTATATAAACACATATACGCAACATTATTTATATCAAATTCTTGAAGGACCCAAAATGTCTTGACAGTCTAAACAATATTGTGCTATGCAAACGAAAAAAAAAAAAAACTATCTACTTCAAATCCTTAAAAGGATCCAAAATATTTTGAAAATCTTAAAAAACATTTGGTTGTGTAAATTATATGAAAAAAAAATCATTGGACTATTATTTTTGTTAAAAGTCATTAATCGATAAAGATCTCAATATCGTATTCAAGAATCGCATTTTCTTGAACAACTTTTGTTGCCGTTGAAGCATCCGCAACCAATACCAATAAGTACACAAGATATTCAAAGAAGGCATTTGGGACTAGAAAAGGGGAAAGAAGTGCTTACTAATTTTGTTCACAACTTAGAACAAGATTTATAAAGTCGCTAAGACAAAAAAAATTCACAACTGTACTAATACTCAAGGATGGTAAAATCTTGCATTAACTACAATACTTACTTACGCTAAAATGTTAAAAACATAAAATAAAAATAAGAAAGAGTGTGCAAGTCCAAATCAAACTCAGATCATAAAAGGTGTCGGAGAGAACGCGAGGAGGGCAAAAAGATGGGACGATTTCCTGCAAGCACATCAATTTTGATACTGTTAATGTACAAATACGACAATCAAAATATTTTATCACACATCTTTCTTCTTTAATCATATTTACTTTTTAATACATACCTGTAGTTGTCAGGGTGACTTGGTGGTGGTACAACCTTAATAGTAGATTTATGTTTGACTTTATGGGGTTGTTCATTATGATCAGATCTGACTGTCTGTTGGTTTAGATCATAAATTGGCCGGTCTTCGGAAATTGCATGAAGATTGGGTTTCCAATGCTTGTAGGGTTTGTTTTTCCTTACTCCACTTGCTGCATGTTCATGGCTGCAGTTCCTTGGCCAGTGCTCCTCCTCCCGCCGCCGCCCACTAACGGTGCTCTCCGCCGCCGGACTCACTATGGCTCCACCCCAACATAAAGCTAATTCGGTGAAGAACTTCATATCAAATGAATTTTCACTAGTTCTGTGAATGTATAAGAGTTTATATAAGAGCGGGTTGGGTGGTTTTCTCATTATCCGTGGTTTTGCTGAGCTGCTGTTTAGTACGTGCTTATTGCTTAATGGGTCAAACGGTTTCGAATATTTCAGCTGAGGCCTTCAACTTTTACCCTTTTGCACTTATGTCCCTAATCTTTACTTTTTGGTAACACTATCCCTAACCTTTCGTTTTATTGGCATCCTCCGTCTCCCGCTGAAGGATGCCGTCCGAAAAATCCATTAATAGGTCATGTGCGTCTCACGCGACCAATTAAACAAAGGGTATTGATGTAATATGGTTATGGAATTTATTTTAGAAAACATTCTAGGGTGGCAATTGGGTTTCATTTCTTCATATATTTTCATTTCATTTCTTACGTGCAAATGAATATTTTTCTAATTTCTGTTGACCTCGTTTCTTGTGAGGGTTTTGTAGATAACAGATGATCGACTTACTCACATCCGCACGAGTAAATTCCAATGCATTACAATCGGAAACTTGGTTAGAGATGCTCTATGACAAAAGACAAAAATGTTTAGACACAATTGTATATTTAAAGATGATTACATATTAATTATCAATCACAAACAACTTAACCAAAGCAAGATGATCTAAACTCAAACAAACAAGAGTACGAAATAAGCAAGAGAGAAGATCGAAAATGACTTTAAGTATAAAGAGTTGCATTAGATTCAAATGTTTAGAAAAGTTGCTATTTATAGAGCTCTGGTCGAAGTAATAACCGTTGAATAAGAATCACGTGGCCTCATCTCCCAAGGCAAAACCTCACATCACTAGTCTGCTACACATTTAATACATTGACAATGGGTAAGCTACCCTACATCATAGGCTGATAGACTTGACATTTCATTATTACAAATGCTACATCAATTATTTCTAAAGATTGACTGCAAATCCTCTGAGAGCCAACGAGAGTTTAGGCCAAATGGAGCTTAGAAGTGAAGGTCTTCGACATGGAGAGCTTCGGTCTCTTTTTTGACTTCGCCACTTCTTTCCGTTGCTACTCTGACCAATTGAGGTCTTTGTTGACTTTGTCAATCCTGACTCACATCTCCACGTGGACTACCACATGATCTTAGCTTCGAGCCTTGATGTTTATGGTGAGGCATAACAATTTCAATTCTTACCTACAAGCGAGATTTGAAGTTTTTCCATCTCTTTCCGCACAAAAACTACTACACTTAGTTTTGGATTTTCGTTAAGGATAAAACTAAACTACTTTTGTTAGTCATTAGTTTAACTGTATCAGGGTATTGGCGTTGGGATTGGGAGGTTGGGTATGCTAGTAGCTTGAAGAAGAAAACATTTTTTTTTCGTCTTTTTATTTTACTTAAGGTTTGAATAGTATTTGGCCACCAATACCCTTTTCTTGATTGATCATGCTTATAGATGACCACTTAGAGCACCTACAAAGGAGATGCAAAATTGCATTTTTTGACGGAAGATGTCAAAAAAATGTAAATTTACACGTCTTTTTTTTTCATCTCAAGAAGCAAAAATTCATTTAGATTTTCCGATTGAAACATAATTTCAATTTAGATACATCGAGGTGTAAAAGAGGATTTGCAAATATTAATTTACACCTATCATTGAAGATGCTCTTACCAATTTTTTAATTGGAGCCCATCAGTAGTGAGGTCAGACTTCAATAAGTGAAAGGTTGAGCATAGCATTGTCAAGAAAGAAAGGATGGAGACAGAAGTGCAAAAGACAAAAGTTGAGGACGTCAGTTGCAATTTGTCCAATTTTCTACATAGGATAAGAGCAGTCCCTCAACTAGCACTATATATATTCTATAACCACAAATTAGATAGCCCCGCGTTAATTGGAGCAGCCTATATTTTTTTATTAATTAAAAAAGTAACTATAAAATGACACCAAGATTAGCTGTAGATCAAGATGAAGATTAACAAGTGAATTCTACAAAATTTGATAATATTAAGGAATAAAAAACTTCTATTTATTGTATTGTTTTGTTCTGTTAATTTGTATTGCATATCAATATGTGGACCCTATAAGCTAAATATGATTACATTTTTATTCTTGGTCTGTTAGTCATGTACCTCGTAAGGTTAATGTGTTTGCTCATTCATTAGCAAATGAAGCACTTAAACTCTCTGAGTAGGGAATTGTGTTGAAGGGAACTCCTCCTTGTATCCAACCCTTGCTAGTTTGAAGTTTTCAATGAAAATTTATCTTTTCTTCAAAAAAAAAATAAAATGAAACATTAGGAACATGCTTTTCAAAAACTGATTCAAGGTGGAGTCAGCATAGTGGAAAGATGGAGGTGAACCCAAATTGTGTTAGCAAAGCTAACATCTTAATTTATGGGCAGTTAAAATGGATGGGGGACTCAGGGTAAGTAAGATATTCATTTCATTTAGGGTCCGTTTGATTGTAAGGGTGGAAAGAAAATGAATTTTTGGGAAAGTAATTACCTAAAAATTGTTTTTCAGGGAATTGGAATTCAATATGTTTGATTGGTATAATTTTCCACCCTGAAAATTTTTAAATTTTGGATTTGTTTGACTTTGTTTTACATTGAAATTGTCCATGAAAGTGATAATTTTTTCCACAATTGGTTATAAAATTTGTTAACATGGCCAAAAAGTAAAAAAAAAATGAAAATTTTTTCCTAAAAAATCATTTTTTTAATCAAAATTTAGTGTTCGTTTGGCTTTATTTTATATGAAAATTGTTAATTAAAGTTAAAATTTTTTTACAGTTAATTATGAAATTTGTTTCCATTGCCCAAAATAATAATAATAATAATAATAATAATAATAATAATAATAATAAACAGCAACATGAAATTCATTTTCTCACAAAAAAAGTGGGAAAACCAATTTCACCAAATCATGGAATTGGCACATGTGTGAGAGAATTGTGGAAAAAGTTTTCTAGGGAAAATTTGTATAATCAAATATGCCAAAAGATGGAAGATAAAATTTGAATTCCATTTTTCATGAAAAATATTCCCTGTCAAACACACCCTTAGATCAAGATAAAGTAGGCACAAGCAGTCTCATGTCTAAGCCAGTTGTAATGCAATGTATTAACTGAAGAAGTAAAAACTATAATTCCATCCAATATATGTAGTATAACTCAAACATGTCCAATTTGTCTTAAAGGAACCCAAATGAATTACAATAAAGACCACTTGTACATAATTCATAGAATGCTGCAAAGTAAAACTACAATTATCACTACCTTCTTTATAGTAAAATAATCAATCCACTAACAATAATTAATGGAAATTATAACAACTGGGTTACAACTTGGAAGCTAATGGATTCATTTATTAGTATTAGGGGACCATATTGAAAAATTATTTAATTGGCAAGCATTAAATGAAAAATTAAATTAGTGAGAAAGAATTATAAAAAAATTATCACATGGTGTTAATAATGAAGTGAAAAATAATTAGATCTTAAAAATAGTCCTTGCACGACCATTTTCCGGTTAAATAACTTGTGGGATCGTGCCAAATCGTGCAATTTTGGCCATTTTTAATATAAAAATAAAAATAAAAAGTCGATATACAGCTTTATAAATTACAACCCTACTTCTCTCCATCACCAAAATAGAGAAAATTGCAGCAGAGGAATTCAACCTATCAAATTTGTTCAAACGGGTCTTTAGTTGATACTTGATAGTTTCCATCCATGTTATGGTCCAAAAAACGAGAAATGGATTCCCTAAGTCCATTGTTCGTCAATAGCTCAATGGCAGATCAATTAGATGCAAAGAACTAGTCAAAAGTTCAATCTCTACTTGCCTATGTGAATCTGATCTATCGACCCATGCCTTTCTCCTTAGTTTTTAAACTAGAATATTATGGAACATCAAAATTAGGGACTAATTTGAAAATTTTGTTTTGAAAGTGGACCAGACCAGACTTGCTAGTGCAACAAGGAAACATGTGAATTACTCCAACATGCGTAAAAAGTCAGAAACATAAAACCGCTTTAAAAAAAGAGAGTCAAACATTGGTTTTGGGAGGGGGAGGGGGGGTGGGTGGGTTGACCGGGCCGTAATCAGGTCCAGTCCCCAGCCCATTTCATTTTTTCTACGTAAAAGAAAATTCTTTTATGCAATTTTTTTCCCATGGTAGCTCGGCTTGTAGTCCGGTTCAGAATCCTTTCTTGGAGTCAAAAACCGGTTGGTCCACAATTTTAGGGGATTGGGGAAGGAGTGGGTTCATGAGTTATGACGATAGTTAGGAAGGACGAGAGCAGTTAGGGGTGGGGTGAGGAAACTATACGGGTCAAAATGAGAGATAATATTTGTTTTATTTTATTTTTCTTCTCTCCGTTCTTCTCTTATTTAATTTAAAATAAAGGTATAAATATTTACCTTCTCAAATCCGACTTTTTAGAAATGTCGAATTCCTAAATGACAAGAAGGCGGACCAACTTATTATTATACCCATAGATTGAGGACCTCCACAACAATATATCACCAAAGTACAGCGTTCTAAAAAACGTAAAACGTGATTACACGTGAAGACGAAGTTTCAAGCTTTACGAGCTTATGCGAGGTCTGGGCATAAAAAAAGAGTTTTCTTATTTTAATATCTAATCATTCAATAATTGAAAAAATACATATCAAACATCTAAAATTATAAAATAATATATTTATTTAATAATTCCTACAATTAGTCAATTGTATAATTTTCAAAATATAAAAACTAAACTATTTTTCATAGTTTCAATTTTCAACTAGACAAGTCATACTGAATAGATTTATAGGAATTTTATATACACTTTTGAAATTTTCAATAAAACAACAAGTAATTACATAATATAGATATCATCATAATTTAAATCTTATTTATCTATTTATCGAATAAAATCATTTTTAACTTTTGTATAGATAAATTAGTGCTATCGAGTATTAACATTATATTAAGGGATATAATCTCACATCGAATAAAGATGAA